ACAGCTTATTTAAAGTGGCCTGTTCTGAACTCTGAAGACAAGGATGATCAAGATTCTAGTCCGAGCCCGACAATGAGCAAATGGTATTATAGCTTTCCTAACTCTGATGATTTCATCCATTAGGTACGAACTTCTAAGAGGCTCATGGGGGTTACAATTGGGGCGATGCTGGAGGAAATACAAGGACTATATGGACAACACCATCAGCCGTGTTTCCTTTATCTCTCTAGTGAAGTCATTAAGGTATTTGAGTTCTTTCTTACATTGCAAAATTTTAACCAAATTTGCAGTTTCCATTTTAAGCAACAGTTGGAACTTCTGCCGCAGATATTTGGTTCAGATCCATCCTGTGCAAATTACTTGAAAGTTCTCATTGAGTCTCTCTTTAGCCATACAGCATGTCTTCTTACAAAGATTCAGGTACAGTCTGTTGCTTTATTTTGCATTTCATTGCTAGTTATGTAAGCTAACTCCGAAGTGTGGTTCACAGGATTTCACTTCCCGTCCGGATATAGCAGATGATTGTTTTTTGCTTGCATCAAGATGTATCCGATACTGTCCTCAACTATTTTTTCCCTCTACTGTGTTTCCATCATTGGTGGATTGTGCCATGATCGGCATCACCGTGCAGCACAGGTAAGTTCTCTCCATTTCCTCCTCACCCCATGAACATTATGGCCTGTTTACATCTATTTTGATGTAAAGAGGAAGCTCTGGTTCTACACGTCTAGAGTGATGAAGAGTTTGTATTCTGGACAATAACATAAAACTGTGAGAAATGTGAGATAAATTGGTAGAATTTGTGAGGACAAACGTCTTATGGTTGAATCTTGGCAGCACCAATAATTTATCTCTTCATGCGTTGAATACAATTGTTGAGATATATACCTTCGTAGGCAAAAAATCAATTTCATCTATAACTTTAACACTTTTATTTAACTATCTGATACAGACCTCAAGCTGGTGGCTGCATGTCATACATGCCATGTCTGTTACAGATGTAATTAGTGCAGGGACTGTAACTGACTTGATGACATCTGTGTGAGCCAATCATTTAATTTTATGATTTTTGTTATAGTGCCTCTCATGAGAGTATCTTTTCTCTGACAAAACAACAGTAAATTTTAATTGCTTGACCTCTTATTATGTAATGGCTTCGGTATAACATAAAATGCAATTTAATTATTTCACACAAGTTGCATCTGGCTTAGCTCTACCAACTTCAATTCTTCGAGTAGTTTGGCAGCATGAGTCCAAGCTGCTGTGGTTGTGGTGCTTTGTACACTAGATTTTGCAATCACATTTTCTTTCTTTCTTTCCTAGGAGAAGTTGCTCCAACTAGAATGCTATACTTAGACTTATAGCGTCCAGCAAAGTATGTCACCATCCAATCTGCACCGGTCATGATTGATTCACGTGGAGTAGTACTTCATCTGGAGCTTATTTTATATGCTGAAGCCTGAAGCATGCATCCTGATGAGTATCACTAGAGAATGAAATTTGTAGTCCTAACTAGAAAGATAATATTAGGTCTGTCATTGTGAGGTAGTTTAGTTTACCAACTTTTTATATATCCCTGGAACACCAAGAGGCTCCTCTGACCTAGTAGATCACTAAGGGGACCAAAATCTTATTTCATCATAAATTGATTTTCTTTCCTATGAGTTAGTCTCAATAATACCATGGTTTTTGTGACATTGACAAATATAACTGTCAGAAAAGAGCGGAGGAAAAGGATTCATGTAGATAACTATAATCAAGTACCTGAGTGAATGATACAAGAACTGAGTCACAGGACACGGCCAGTTTGATTAGCATGAACTACTTGATGAGACATTAACTGGTCTGATGCTGAAGGAACACATATTCACTGCGTTGGTTGTCATATTTTGTTGCATTTCTCAATGCAATATAAGCAGCAGTTTGTTCCATATCAATATGGCGCTATATTTGTTTCCAAAGTCCATTGCCTACAATCTGAATTACAGAGGCCAAGTACCCAACATATTTAGTAAAAGTACACTTGTAGTTGAATTTTAATCTGTCAAGCATAGAATCATCTTTTGATACTCCCTCTGTTTCAATTTAAGGTGTCTTAGTTTGATTAGGCACGGGGCACGGAGTTTAAGAAAATATGGGAGACTTTTGAATCTTGTGGCCTAAAACTAAAGATGTGGGTAATGTATCAAGATTTCTGTTGAATCTTGTGGTCTAAAACAAACCATGTAAAATGGTGGAATTAAGGAGTTACCAATGTTATTCTTTCTGAAACAGACTAAAACCGAAAGTAAGGCACTTACATTGAAACGGCGGGAGTATATCATTGTCCACTCATCTATCTAATTACTAGAGAACCTATCAGGAACTGCAAGGAAACTCTGGCCTTTATAGATTTGGATTTCTCCTTCTCTAGTAATTTTATTATCTATTTGGTATGATATTTTATTATGTTTTGATTGTTCTAAATTTCGAATTATTGACTGGATTGTAGGGAGGCTTGCAATTCAATATTGAACTTTGTGTCTGATATATTCGATCTTGCAAACTCTACAAACGGAGAAAGTTGCCTATCCATAAGGGACAGTGTAATTATTCCTCGAGGGCCCACTATCACCAGAATTTTGGTTGCTTGTCTAACTGGAGCCCTTCCTAGTTCACGACTAGAAACAGTAAGTACAAATCATTATTTTTTATAGAATGCAGATGGGTGAAGAGAAAGGTAGTATTAGTTTGTTGCATTCAAGAGTTACTCTGAGCTGTTTTCTTTGTAGGTAACTTACGCTCTACTGGCATTGACCCGGGCGTATGGGTTGAAAGCTCTTGAGTGGGCAAAGGAATGTGTGTCCTTAATTCCATCAACAGCTGTTACAGAATTGGAAAGGACTAGATTTTTACAAGCCTTGTCAGATGCAGCCTCTGGAGCAAATATGAACGGTCTGGTAGTTCCGATTGACGAGATTTCAGAGGTTTGCCGACGTAATCGAACTGTTCAGGAGATAGTTCAAGGAGCTTTGAGGCCACTTGATCTGAACATAGTAGCTGTATCATAGTGGAGAGGGTGCAGAAGGGCCTTTTTTAACCTCTCCCTTCTCTGCAGGCAGTAGTTTTTCATGATTCTTTGGAGGCCTTATTTCATCGTTTGTCCATTGTGCGGCTTGAGAATATATACGAGTTATGCAGCAAAAGGGTGTTGTATTGTTGTTACTTTTTCTACTTGTGGAAAGTGATAGAGGAACTCAAGCAGATGCAGTTCCTTGGTTTGGCTTTTTCACTTTTGGTCCTTTTTCGTTTTGGGGGGGTTTTCTTTCGAGGGTGAGGAATTTCCAGTTTTGAGGTTTTAATCCTGGAGTTCAATATATAAGCTTCTTGTATTTGGTAAGATTTTCCAGTTTATAACTGTGTATAGAATGTGCAGTTTCTTTCAGTTCAATAGATAATGAATGCTTAGTGAAGGAATGTGGTATGCAAATCAAACATGTTGTTTATCACCTGTTTTATTTCACATTATGGAGGATGTTTCCTGCTTGGTTTATCAGATCTCCAAGTGTTGGTGTTATAAAATATATCTCATCCAGCTTTTCGTTGGTTATTGTGTCACTATATGGACTTCCATAAACTTTACTTTGTGACTTGAAAAAATCTGTCTTATTTTATTAGGTATGAGACTTTTCTAGAGAAAAGAAGGTAGATGTTTGATTTTTATATGAAACTTATACTTTGAGCCAGGGGTGAATTTATACACTAAAATTGGGACGTGTGAATATGTGGTTTCTCCATAAAATTAGGTATTTATGTATATATTTTATTTTAAATTATTTAATATTATCGGTTGGCGTCCAATCTTATAAGAAGATCAACAAAATTGAATGTTGAGTTATTTAACTTTATGCGTTTCTTTCTTTCTTTTACTCAGTGATGCACCAATGTTTTACAAATCCTATGGGACATATTCCATATTCATATGAGGCACATTTTCTTTAATGATCATAATAACACTATGAAGTCTGAACTCTACCTAACAAATAACAATAAATAATTTAGCTTGCTCCAACTTCTACGTGGGTCTTGAAATAAATAAAGAAAAAGTTGAAAATCCTCTCTTAGATTTGAGAGTTCCACTCAAAATCATCTATAATATTATATTATTATATAATATAGATAGGAGTAACATGTACTACGAATAGTTCTCAAAATCTTAAGAAACTGTGCGTAGAGTATTTCATATCAAATCAAATAATTTTATATTTTAGTAGTTAAAACTAAAGTGAGAATATATCAGTTGACATAATTAAGTGAAAATGTGTGCATGCAAATTACCTATTCAGGTTCAGTATAAACGTGATGTATGTATCAATATAAACGTGATATCAATAAATTATTAGTCCCTGTGTCTCTAATTATTTGTTCATTTTTCCTTTTTAGTTATTTCTAATTACTTGTCTATTTTGACAAATCAATAAAGAACAAATATTTTTTTTACCTATTATCTCCTCAATTAATTACTTTGAAAAATATAGAACTTCTTGAAAATCTTAAGTTTTTTTAATTCATCTACTTCATAATTAATAGTGTTAATAATTATTTTCTTAATAGATGTGTCAATTCAAGAATGGACAAGTAATTAAGAACGGATGGAGTATTATACTACTAAAGATAACTTTGAATTTTTTAATTTAAACTTTTGATATGTTATAATTAAAATTATAAGATTTAAAGAACATATCGATACATGTGATATATCTTTGATTTAAAATTGTAAAGATCAATATTTTTTTTTACTTTTTAAAATTTTGTTATTTAATTTGATCTGAGATAGCATTTATGATGTTTAACTTAAATACGTGTTCTATTCAACATAATACAAATTGAGGCGCATCAACATAATTTGGGTTTTTTTTTTTTGTTTATTGCCCAATGTACGAAATTATGTTAAAGCTCCGACTAAATTTGAATTGCACACCGCATGTTCCATTAGGAAGTGGCGTTGGTCAGCACAAGTTGGGTTTAGAACAATTTCCTTTTCGTGTTGGATTTCACTTCCCACTTGCCCCGTCTCTCTCTATACTTTCATTTGCCTCTCTCTCTCTTTCATGGTCATTCATGCATCTGTAATTTGCAAAATTCACTGTACCCATTACTTCTCTGCTGATAATTCACGGCTTCCTTCTTCTTCTTCTTCTTCCCCCAAGCAAACACCCTTCAAAGTTGCAACCTTTCACTTTCTTGATTTCTTCTTTTCCATTAATTAGTCCCTGCAGATCCCTGATGTAGCCCTTTTTCTTTCACAGCCTGCTCTGAGTTCAATCTCAGCTGGCTTTTCTTGCCTAAATCACATTCTTGATTCACAAAATAACAATAGTAAAGATGCCATCTTTGTTATTTTTGCTGACCAATTGATAAAGGGGTTTCAAGAATTCTTGTTAATATGGCCTTTGCAGCTCAGCAGAAGAAGGCTATTCATTCCATGTTAGCAAACAAGCTGACCCATCTCAAAATCCCTGACTCTTCTTCATCATCTCCTCCTTCTACTGATCCAGACTTTGATTTTTCTGATGTTTTTGGTGCTCCTACCTCTTCTTCATCTCCTTCATCTTCTTCCAGTTTTCTAACTGACCCACAAATCATTCATAGTAGGTCCCACTCTTTTGTGGGTCCATCTCCAAGGATCACTCTCTCAAAGCTTCTGCCTTTTCACCAAGAAGTTGATTCTGAGAGTGAAAGTGATAGTGATAAAGTTAATACTCATGTAGGTACTCACCAAACTGAATGTACTGATGGGGTTGAAGAGATTAGTGGAGATGAGGGGTTAGCTGTAACAAAATTTGGGCCAGGGGATTTTGAGATCTTGAGGATGATTGGAAAAGGTTCTTTTGGGAAGGTTTTTCAGGTGAAGATGAAGGGGTATGGTGGTGAGGGTGAGGGTGATGGGATATTAGCAATGAAAGTGATGAGGAAGGACACGGTAATCAAGAATAAGCATGTGGATTATATGAGAGCTGAGAGGGATATTCTCACTAAAGTTGAGCACCCTTTTATTGTTCAGCTTAGATACTCATTTCAGGTAATAGTTGCTTATACTGGACATACTAATTTTGTCTATTCAGTTTCAGATTAATGGGCGTATTTATCTTAAATGTATACATAAATAGTCTTACTATCCTGCTTTTGTTACTGCTTATGTCTTCATAAATGTTGTGTTTTTGCTTTCTTTGAGCTGAGTGTCTATTGGAAATAGCCTCTCTAGTTACACTCACCCTCCCCTGACCCCACTCGTGGGACTATACTGGTTCTGTTGTTGTTTGTAAATTGTACACAAATAGTCAGGGATATCTTGGTGAGAATAGTGCATCCACATTAAGGGATTTAGCTAAGTGTTATTCCAGCTATCAATCTGAATTGATGTTACTTGTTTTTCTTTTTCATGTAGAAGAACAAGATAATCTTTTGTATTAGGAATTATTTGGTTTTAAGTCAGAAGCTAAATTTAGTACTATGGTATTTGTCCTTTCATTTAATCTTCTGTTACAGAAGTACTTAAAAGGTGAGAGCTTTTCCTTGCCTCTCTCTGTGGGGAAAAGCTTTTCATAGAAAGAGGATACCCTTTTGGGAATCTGTTTGAATTCTGGTGTCACTCATTCCTTCTTTTTTGAGCGGGGACAACATGAGCAAGTTTTGAACTTTATTAGTACTAGGAGTACTATTTAACATCATTAATGCTAATGAAATTAATTTCAAGTGGAATTTCTGTTCTTTTTGTCTAGAATCTAGTCAGATTGCTGAATATTTGATAGGATATTTTAGTAGATTTATTTAGACAATTTCAGAGAAGTTCATTAACTTTTTCTGTTGCGATTTTCTTTTTTTAGTTTCCATTATTCTTTGCCTTTGATGCAGAATTGTCTTTGTTTCGGAAACAATCTCTGCGAAGATTTTTTTGGACAATATTTTGTTTTGAACTGGTAACTTTTGTATTATAGACCAGTACTTAGGTAGTACTGGAAAACCCATTTACAAATTAAAGTATGAGAACAAAGATGCTAAGAAAATTCAACCCTAACATGAGTCTAAAACTTTTAGGATTGATCTGCATCTACACGGGAGCTCTTTGTACACCAAAAAGAAAATAGCAAAACACTGTTTTTGTAAAGTGCTACTTCTAGCCTCAAATGGAATTCCTTTCTTTCCAGATAGCGCACCATATGCAAGCTGGAATGATCCTACGGTAGCTTCTATTCGTTACCCCAATCAGCCTTCTCCCAGCTAGAAAGAGTGTCAACAATCTTGCTAGGCATTGTCCAAGATGATTTATTTTTATTTTTGACAATTTCAAAGTGAAGTTAATGATTTTCTAGAACTTTTGTTGGTTTTTTCTATTTAGTTCCCATATTTCTCGATGTCTTTTTAAAGCACAGATTTTGTCTTTCTTTGGTGTACTCATTGTCATTGATTTTGCTACTGTGATTTGATTTTCGAAATCATATGCCTTACAGTCTCAGACCAAGCGTTCTTGCCCTCTGATATGTTTTTTCTGATTAACAATATCATTCCTGGGTTATTTATTTTGGAATATGCTGCAGACGAAGTCTAAGCTGTATTTGATTTTGGATTTTATAAATGGAGGACATCTTTTCTATCATCTATACAGACAAGGGATTTTCAGGTACCTTTGTATTTCTTATTGACTAACCAGTCATGATATGCATTCTGCTCTTCTAACTTCAGCTCTTGGGTGTGCTTTGGGTAGTGAGGACCAGGCAAGGATTTATGCTGCTGAGATAGTTTCTGCTGTTTCACATCTTCACCAGAGAGGGATCGTGCATCGAGATCTCAAACCTGAAAATATTCTCATGGATGGTGATGGACATGTAATAGTCTTGCTGTACTCTACTGCAGGAACATGATTGATGCATGGAAGAAGAAAAGAAATAAGAAATACGTAGCATTTTTCCTTTGAACATTGCAGTTGATTCATTCCTCTTCTTAAGCATTTCATTTTCCACCCAGGTCATGCTGACAGATTTTGGACTGGCAAAAGAGATTGATGAATCAAGCAGATCTAATTCAATGTGTGGAACCATGGAATACATGGCTCCGGAGATTATACAGTCCAAGGGCCACAATAAAGATGCTGACTGGTGGAGTGTTGGGGTACTTCTGTATGAGATGCTGACTGGTCAGGTAATCTAAGTACTGGTTGGAACATTTGTTTGCAGTGTAATATTAGGACACTAGAATCATGCAGTGTTGAGTAATGCCAAAGCATGTGACAAGCATAGACAGTTCAACGGACATTCTCTGGAGCCTATTTTATGTGAAATGTACTATAAATTGCATTATTCCTAGACAGATTTTCCTTTGTAAATTAGAACACTTTTGACTCTCATTTCTTTCAGCCACCTTTCACACATGCAAATAGAAAGAAGCTTCAGGAAAAGATCATCAGCGAGAAACTGAAACTTCTACCACGTCTGACTGGTGAAGCTCACTCTCTGCTCAAAGGAGTATGTACAAACTATCAATTGACTGCTTGCCCATACTTTCTTAGATAAGTGATTGTAATTCAACTGAATGAAAACTTGCAATTTTTTCCCGTAGTTGCTACAGAAAGACCCATCCAAAAGATTAGGCAGTGGACCAAGAGGAGGGGATGAGATCAAAAGTCACAAGTGGTTCCGCACAATCAATTGGAAGAAACTTGATGCTAGAGAACTACAGCCTAAGTTCAAACCAGATGTAATTGGCAGAGATTGCACTGCCAATTTCGACAAATGTTGGACTACGATGCCACCGGATGACTCACCAGCATCTACTCCGACAACAGGCGAACACTTTCAAGGTTACACTTATGTAGCACCAAATCCTTGGCTCTCCTCTAGTTGATTTAAGTCTTTATCCTGACAAAATTTCGAACTCTTAGTTTGCTATTGTAAGTCATTCTTTGTTAGAGAGAGGATCGTGAGACATGTATGGATCAGATTGTATCATGATAAAAGCAAATCTTTCTAACTCTTTTTGTGTACTGTTGTAAGCTCATTCTTCTTTATGGACAAGATGTGAAATCAATCAATTGACTTTGATTGTGTAGCCCTTTTATTTACCTGCTCTTCTATGTTTCGTCTTAACCTCGTCTATTCGATGCTCTCTGGAAATTATAAATTCTTTTATTATTTTGTACTGCAAGAGAATCTAAGAATGTGTTCACACTTTTCACTCATGTGATGATTCAGTCCCTATATTTCAAATTCAAATCAGTATTGAAAATTAATCAAAGTTGTTCAGTATTCAAGAACTCTAAATGATTAATGAGAAATAGCTGAAATAAGTTCCAGGGCTCTGTTGCATTCTAGAGAATAGAAAATGCTAATGAGTTCTGCATATGGTTCAACAATTTAATAGAGGAACAAATTGAGGGTAGTGTTGGTGCATTAGTGGAGTATATGAGTAGATATCCTTCAGGGGAATGAATTGGCTTTTGATTTTTCTCCTTGTATGTTTCCTTTGATTGTGGATGTCTGTGGGAGGGTCTGCCTGATTGTTTTGCAGGCTTGCACAATCTTATGCGGTAGTAGTTGAGAAAAGTAGAAGAAGGCGTATTCTCAACTACTAGTTCTAGAAACTATTGCGACATCAAATGAGTCAACTAGAAAAATTGCATTCAATTTTGTTATGAGTAATGTAGTGCTCTTTTGAACTATGTTAGGACATACCTTGTCCGTTGCTGATTCTGCTTACTATTTCAGTATGTGCAAATTACCAGCTTTCGCTATTATAGCTCAAGAAATGCTATACATCTCACTTGTATTTGACCAAGCTCCTCCAGCATTTTGTTTTTGCTCTCTTTCTTCGGGTTACTACTAACTATAACATGAATAGATAAACAAATATAAACTGATCAAACTTCTGTATTAGACTTTGCAAGAGTTTTTTGTACTTCCATGTGAATTATTTCCCTTGGAACCTGAGACTGTCATTAAGTAGGTTTTTGAAAGGAAGAACTGAACACATGCCAAAATAAGCATCCATAGATCTACCTTTCTATACTATGGTGTTTATCTTGGAAATGAACTGTTAACAGTTGAGGGATGTGACATTTTTTTCTGTTAACAACAGTGTAGAGTTATCTCAAATTGGTGAGATGTTTAATGGTATCACTCCAGAAAGGGATGAAATATGACATGGTTATTAAAATATGAACTATATAACCATGTGGAGCAAAAGTTTTGTCGTTATATAAGTTCGATCTGCTCCTTTCCAAAATATGCTGGCTTCAGTGTACTTCTAAGAGGCACACTTGCGAACTGTCATTTGAATGGTTTCAGTACATATCCCTTATCTAGATATTGTGGAAAAAGTTGCATAAAGGTTGGAATCAGTGGAAGAGCACTGGTGATTGGTGACTACTTAATGAAACTTAAATAAATTATAGCTTCATATGGTATTTGGAAAGTAGAAAGGCATCTCATTCCAGTTACTTTTAAGTGGATAAGTTAGTTTGTGCTCATTAACAGCCACCTGGTTTGTTGTGTGTGCGTGTGGTGGGGGGGGGGGGGGGGGGAGAGACTCGTTAATCATGTGGATATCTTATATGATCCTCAGATATTGTTTCTTTAAGGGTTAGCTCTTGTCACTGTGTCTCAAAAGTCTAATATTGCTTATAGATACCAGATAGGCAAGCAGCATATATTCCTTTTATTCTTCTGAGTTCCATTTGGACACATAGAAAATAGAAAAAACATCTTATTGCATGAATGGGAAAAGGATTTAGCACTAATAAAGTTACTGTTAGGATGGATAAAACTTAAGGGAGATTCCTGTCTTTTTGTTTAACAACACAAATGAGTAATCAACTGAGGTTATATTCTACTACCCTATAATGCTTTAGAAGCAAGTTTCTTTAGCTTTATACTTATATATATATATCCATGGTCGTTGGCTTGTCATATATGCAATCACCTTCTCTGTTCTTGAAAGTATTTTGGCAGTTAAGAATTTGTATCATTTGCCATGAAGAACAAAAGCAGAAGCAACGACTCCCTCTGTGAGAAGTCAATGAAGATGGTAACAAATGTCATCCGGCTATCGTCATTCTCTATTGCCAGGATGAGCCTTGGAATCGCAACAGAACCAGCTCCAGGCAGTAAAATTCCTGCATCATACCCTGCAACATTCATCAAAGGCTCACCAACAGCACAATTCCCTGAGAGCTTAAGGTCACAGGAGCCAGTGAACGTCAAAAAGCCGATTGCCTACCTTATTGAGCCAACTGAAAATGGTAAATCCTCCTTGTATGCAGTTAATGATAAGAGTGTAGATGGTAGGGCCTCTGATTACATTAGAAGAGTGCATGAGAAGAATCGTCATGATTCAAACGAGGCAATGAAACTTTCTGCATTCATCATTCCACCTCCACCTCGTTTCGTGTAGTCAGATTTTGTACTACTAACCATGTGTTTATTTCCATCTTCTACTATTTCGCGTAGCATAATTGTCTTTATCTATCTTGGATAATATGCTTTGCTTCTCTTGAGAACAAGCTTATGATTAGTGCCATAGTGATGAAGAATCTTCTCCTTCTGTCCCTTTGGGCTTTGTCTACTGAAGGCTTTTGTTCATAAGAAGCTTGCATCTTGATATTGATCTTCTGTCTGTCATATAATCATTTCAATCAAATTAGTTGGAGTTTGTTAAATGAATCTAGTTGGAGTCGGTTATATGAATCATATCCATTTTATTCAAGCATATCTCATTCTGATATTAAACAAGTTGTCTTTTAGGTGAATTAAGGTTTCTCCAAAACTATAAATTTCTATTTTCCTGCACTTATTTTGTTATTTACATACTATAAGTTTCTACATGGAATAGTAAGACTCCAAAAAGTTGGTTTTGCTTATATAGGTCCCACTGTGTTCTGTTTTTAGCTATGTTATTCTTGCACTTATGACATGGAGGTCTATGTAGAATATGACCAAACCAGGATATAACAGTGTAGTAGCAATTAAGATGGGGTCGGTTCTTGATTAACATCCTTTAGACTCTATCGTATGTGACCTTATCTTAGTTTTCCTCTATGTGTGCTATTTGCAACGCCTGTCATATATTAACCAATATCTTTAATATTATTTAGACTCTATCGTATGTGACCTTATCTTAGTTTTCCTCTATGTGTGCTATTTGCAACGCCTGTCATATATTAACCAATATCTTTAATATTATCCAATGATTACGCGTTCATCTTCAACTTGTTGGGACTTAAAGAACTATTTCCAAAAATGTTTTTGTTCTCTTAACGATCACTTTTTTAGGTATCTTTCTAACGTATAACTTAGATATTTGTATTGTATGCAGTTCACCAAAATCCTGTAAATTCTTGTGGGATTAAACTTTCATTTGATGTGTTCTTACTTTTATTTAGTCGGTAACTATTCCTTCATATTTAATCCGAGATGGAAAATAAAATTATCTTTATAAAAAGCACATTACCCAAGTAAGTAAAAGTTTCCTTAGAGGGAATAAATGCATATATGTGGTCAAGTGGCAAGAGAATATTGTTAAAGAAAAGATGGGAATATCTTTCTTTCACCCTACAAATCCTCACCTTATCTGTTGGTCTCAAATAGAGAACCTTATTTATTGCGTGTAAACGTGACGATCTGTAATTCATCCTTGCCAATATGTAAATGCATTTCCACAACAAAGCATTTTTTTTTTAATAATGATGGTATCCGAGTTAATTTGTACTCACGATATGTGATTCTTCTATTAGTATAAATATTGAATAACTATATGCTTCAAATTTTAAATAAATAAAAATCAATCACCTGATTTTTTTATTTTGTGTGTGTAAAATTTGAATTTCTGATCTAATATGATCACCAAAACACATATTTGAGTGCGGGGACCAATAATACTGGAACCACTACTCAAAAGATTTTTTTGTTTGTTTATCGTTACTAAAATATTTCAAATTTGACCTATTTTTATTTTTATTTTCATTATCAACGATCAATAATTGATGACACTCATAAGCAGCATTGCCGACTTAATAGTACTGGTGTTTCAACTCATTTGACAATAAGTACAAAAAAGGTTCTATCGTGTCTACTCTTCTTTTAGGAGTGTATTCGATCAATTATTTTAGAAAATGTATTTTTAAATTACTCTATCATGTCTAATCAAAATTAATCCCTCCGTTTCAAAAAGAATGACCTCTTTCCTTTTTTGGTAACATTTTAATTTCAGTTTTTCACGTGACATGTTTAAGACTACAAGATAATTTATACATTTGACATAATTTTAATTTAGAACCACAAGATTCAAAAATCTTGTTTACTTTCTTAAATTCCGTGTCAAATCAAACTAGATCATTCTTTTTAAAACGGAGGAAGTAATTTTTTTGAAAACGTGTCAATCTGTTAAAAATGATGTAATGACCTGTCCCATAAGGATCGATTTCCATCCCCGTTTTAGGCAAAACTATTGGCAGCCCAAGAATACAGTAGGAATCAAGAAAATCATATAGTTGCTGCCAAACACATGCACGACACTCTAACCCAATCAAGATTTTGGATAACGTTATCACATGGCCAGTTCATACAACCACCCACATACATATAGCCTATAGGACCACGAGGAAAATTATTTTGGCCAGAAAATTTTGAGCATATTCACACTATAAACAGGTTTATTTTTTTATATTTTTATCCTTATTTAAATTTAAATTTAAATTTATTAATTATTTTTTAATACATGAAAAGTTTCCCAATACATGGGGAATAGACTTGTTCCCGGATTCTTATAATATCCATAAATACGTGTTAATTTCAATTTCTTTTAAAAAGGCAACAAAATGATAGCCTTAATAATTTCTTTTCTTCCCTCTACTTTCCAATATAAATTATAAAGAACACAAATTTGAAATTTACAATTAAGAAATAAAATTTAAAATTTAAATGGCAAGATTAACACTAATAATATTAAATTTAAAATAAATTTATCTCACACTCAATTCAAATTCAAGATTCATAAAATAACTTAACAAGAAAAATTATTAATCAAAAGTGTCATATAT